CCACCCCGCTGCACGCCGCTCCTCTCCGCTCCATAACGTTGCTGCTCCATAAGGGAACAAGTATATAGGAAATATTTAATGTCAGGTGGCCACTTTCTTGGAGCAGTGCTGTCGCATGACCTCTGTGGTAAACAGTGGCACACTCAGTATAAGAATTCAGTGACTAAGCGCAGAATGACAATAGGCAGAATAATACAATCCCATATTGCAATCGAAAAATATGTTTTTAGATTTTTTCAGAAATCATGTATCTTTATGACACTGTAGACAAAAGTGTCTACAGTATTTGCAAATATTTGCAAAATACAAATGCTAGGAGACCTTTGTACAATAGTACTCATAGAACAAATTGCTTTGACAAAAATGGTACTATATAATATACCTAATGATTTCTAATTCAAGTTGAAATTGAAAGATCACTCTGCAACTTTCGGCGTCTTCAAAGGAAGACAGTCGCGTCTTGCAAACATTTGCAGTCGCGTTTTGCAAACATTTGCAGTCGCGTTTTGCAAACATTTGCAGTTGCGTTTTGCAAACATTTGGAGTCGCGTTTTGCAAACATTTGCAGTCGCGTTTTGCAAACATTTGCAGTCGCGTTTTGCAAACATTTGCAGTCGCGTTTTGCAAATATTTGCCATCGCGTTTTGCAAATATTTGCATTCGCGTTTTTGCGTTTTGCAAATACTTGCAATCGCGTTTTCGCGTTTTGCAAATATATTTGCACTCCATTTTTGCAAATATATTTGCAGTCGTATTTTGCAAATATTTGTAAACGATTTCCGAGGATTCCTGGAAAGTAGTAACTAAAAATTAAAATATTCGGTTCAAATTTTTTGGGTTAGTCGGAACTAAATCGATCGGGGAATTTTCATTTTGGGGAAAATTCTGTTTACTGTTTGGTCTCTAGTGTCGCTAACTGGCGCGGAAAGATTAAGTTAAAAACTTCTTTTCGGTAACAAGGGAAATGTTTGTTACAGTTGAAATGTCAACATTCAAATTCCGAAGTTTAATCTTCGTTCTTCAATTATGCTAAATTATTAATAAGAGGAACACTAAAATAAATAGTTCATATCGATGTTGATGAAATTTTAAATATCGATTTATCTTATCTAATGATTTCTGTTGCCCATAGGTGACATTTCACAATTATGCGGATGTGCCGACCCCTTGGAGCCTAACAAAAGCTGTACACGACAACAATCTGGCGTTGCTACTCAATCCTCCGCGGGAACTCAGGGATTTGCGAGGATTCGTGCACGTTGTGACTGTCATAGCAACAAAATATTTCGACCCAAAGGTTCTAGCGTACGGGTTATCGAAACAACAGACGACTACCTCCCTTGGAATTTTCATTATAATGTACATTTACACTAAAAATTTGACTAGAAAAACAATAATAGAAGTGAGCAATGAATTTTTTCGAGAGATGGGATCTATTCGTGTAATGCATCTTTATCCTTTGAGAGACTCTATTGTGTACATAAGAGAGACAAGTAACATTTTTACGCACAAATTCAATTTTGAAACCATACATTTGTCAGAATTTTGCTCCAAGAAGATTGGTATGAAGTATCGAAATTTACCGAGGTCTTTGGACATGAAAGGATATAAAGCATCCTTGTATTCAACTGAGGAGAACTCGTGGTTTGATAAGAATGGAAAAGTGCGTTTCGATGGAGCTGACATTGAGATATTGCGTGAGCTACGCAAATTGGGAATTCACTGGATTCCACCAACAAAAAAAATTCAGGGAAAATTTCAAGTGATCGAGGATGTTTCACTACACCCAGTTTCCCTCGCTTCCTGTTGGAATTCGGAATGGATCAAATCAAGAGAATTCACTGTTGTGATAAAACAGGTACGGCACACCTCAGTGAGTAAGTGTTTAGCTTACTGGCTTCTTCATCCCCTGAGTTCGGGTTGTATCTTGGCTAAGATACGAGGAATGTCGATACATATAACACTTTTTCCGTATCAGGGGGCCCTTGAAATGTGTAGTTCTGTCAAAATCACAATACCTACATATTTTGCATCACATATTCACGCTTATTCTACATTACATATATCATAAAGGATACTACCTTTTCTTGGAGTCAGGAGCTGTATAGCATGAATTTCCATGAAAATATCGACATCTATTCTTTTGAGCATTACCTAACTTCCTCTGTATAATGTATACGAAGAGGTAAATTGGAGGCGTGAATTAATCTGTTAATAAACATTTTTTTCATACTTTCTCAGTCATAAATTTTCAATGAATGCGTGAATTTTTTAAAATTTTTATGATAGGAAATTCAAAAAAAAAATTAATTTTAATGGGAGAATTAAGTCATAAAACGACATAGATTAAAAAACATTTGATTTACAGACAACATTCTTCGAATAAATCTTCTTGAAGATAAAAAAAATCATATTTCAAATTAGTGTTACAAACACGTGCATATTGTGAAGGTTATTCATACAATGCATTCTTGGCTATCCGGGATGAGCCACTTCTCGGTCTCCTCTCTGATCGAGACGCGGCTCATCCCATATAGCCAAGATTGCATTGATTCCGGCCGCGGAAGCCTACGATCCCTTATTCATACAATAATTACACTATTAACATTTATATAGTTCCTCGCTTCAAAATATTCAAGCAAATAACGAAGTTTTGTATTCGACATTCTTAACAATTCAATATGAGTTGCTGCTCAATGATCTGTGAGTTGTGGGATTAATTGTCGCTTTTCGTGTTCCTAGTCCGATGATTATCTGGTGGTGCGGAGAGCTGGGCGCGTACCCTTTGGACTGGTGCTGCTTCTGCCCTTGGAGACGGCATCCTGGTACGCATTGGTTGCTACCATATTTCTATTGGTGCTGGCTTGGATGACGGTTCGAACAGTTCGTCTTCACATAATAGGCGTTATTGCTGCACTCATTGATATTCAGGAGATAGTATTAACAGGAGGTTTATCAAGGACACTACAATGTGCATCACAACGCATCGTTGTTCTCTGCGGAATTCTGTTAAGTATCGTAGGAGGCAATGCTTACACGGGTCTTTTGCTTGGATTTTTGACAGTCCCTCAATACTTCAATGAACTTAATACCATAGAAGAAGCTAGAGGTGCAACTGACCGCTTATACATTGTTTCAACCTACAAAGATTTGCTTGAACAGAGGACTGATCTTCAAAAAATAGTAAAAAATATTACAGTTATAAAAACGACAGACGAAAGAGATGACGCCATTAAAGACATTATTCAAACAGGAAAAGCTGCTACTAAAGGCCCCTGACAGCTGACTCAAGCGTTAGCTTCTCTTGCTCCTCTCACCCTTCGATCTGAGAGGTCACTCGTCCAACAACGCGATGTATCTCTGTAACGTTCACAACCAGTGGTCGTATAGACCCCTTGCAAAACGCGAAGAAGTAGCGTGTTAAAGATGTTTGCAAACCAATGGTTTTATAGCTGGGTATGCAAGAATTCGCCCGTACTTCTGGGCTCTTGTATCTGTTGTGTAACATTACCGTCCTCTGCTCTTTGATATCCAAATAGCGAGAAATAAGAAAATATAAATGCTCACTGAAGAAAAGTAGCAGCTTTTTCCCTTGTTGTGAATGAATGTTTTAATGGCGTGTCATCTCTTTCGTGCTGTCGTTTTTTTATACTGTAAATTTTTTACTATTTTTTGGAAAGATCAGTCCTACATGTTCAAGCAATATCTTTGTAGGTTGAAA